GACAGGAAGACATGTTACGACAAAGAATATTGGAACATTCCATCTGAGTGTAAGACCGATGAGCACTGTGTTTAGAACCCTGAGACAGGCTAAGTTGCCAGATGTCTTTGGCTGAGGCTTAGGCAAAGTAGATCACAGGCAATTAGACTCTAATACCCAGGCTGGGCAAGCAAATATCAATAATCACATTACCCTGGCAGAAATAGTCTCTTCTTGGTATAACCCTCTCTCCTATGTTGCATTATTTTTCTTGGGGTGGGGTTGGGTATGGAAAAACATATTCACCTGGCCTCAGGTACTGATGACAGAGGAAAGAAATAACTCCACTCAAGCATAGCTTGGTGAACCAGTGAGCTTACTGTGGTTATTAAGAGAAGCATAGGTAGGTAGGTCTCTGGAATTGCATCACTGAAAAGCCCACTATGGAATGGGCAATGTCTCACAAAAACATTCCCACATCCCCTGGTAACACCTCCATTGGACTCTTGTTCTCTGTGAAATTGACTATTTATGTGTAGGTAGGAATAACTCATTTACCAAAACACCAAATATAGAAGTCATTTCCTGAGACAGGAAAAGAATTTACTTGTAAAAAAGTGAACAAAATGAAACGTTTAAATCAAAGCTGGGATGAAAGCGAGAAATAAATTGTATAAAAAAACATGTATGATAGTTTATCATCAGACGTGGCTGTAACTACTCAGCTGAACATCACTGGGCCTCATGTCCTCCCTGCTCCACACAGACGACATCCAGTGAAGGAGTCAATGGGGCCACTGACTTTTTTTAAAGAGTTCGTGTATTTTTATGTATGTGTATGAGTGTTTTGCCTGCATATATGTCTGTGCATCGCATGTACACCTGGTGCCCTCAGAGCCCAGAAGGGGGCATAAGATTTCCTGGAACTAAAATTGTGAGCTTCCAGGTAGGTGCTGGGAACTGAACCCGGGTCCTCTGCATAAACGGCAAGGGCTCTTAACTGCTGAGCCATCTCTACAGTCCACTATTGACATTTTAATGGCTGTGTGACACAGGCCACTCTGTCTCTTCTCCAGATTGTGACAAGGACAAGAAATAAACTCTTAACTGTAGTAAGCAACTGAAATTTAGCATTGTTTCTTTTTCCAGATAACTCTTGTTCTATTAGAATAAGCTGTTCTTTGTGTTCTCTGTCTCCTTGGCTGCTTGTTTTAGCTAATAGAGATCATAGAGAAAACAGGCCGAACATATTGAATAAAATTTGGATGAACTCCTACGAATGTATACTAAGGCTATTAAGAGTCTCAATTAGGCTGGGCAGTGGTGGTACACACCTTTAATCCTAGCACTTGGGAGGCAGAGGCAGGCGCATCTCTGTGAGTTTGAGGCCAGCCTGGTCTACAGAGTGAGTCCCAGGACAGCCAGGACTACACAGAGAAACCCTATCTCAAAAATAAAAATCTCTGTATTAGAAGGTTCACTTCTAATAATCAGTCAACCACATAAATACTGAAATTACCTGACAGTGACATGACCTGGGGATGGAGGAAAATATACTGAAGCAAAGCTGGTGTCAAAATTTATTTGGAAGATGAAGAAATTGAGAATGATGCAAGTAGGCCAGGAAGCCAGGTATGGTGGCAAACACTGGTAATCCCAGAAGGATTGCAAATTCAAGCCTGGTCCATGTAGCAAGTTCCAAACTGGTCTTGGGTACATACTGAGTCAGTCTCTCTCTCCCTCTCTCTCCCTCTCCTTCTCTCTTTCCTTCTCCTCTCTCTGTCCTTCTCTCTTTCTCAGGAAAAAAAAAAAAACAGAGAAATGTCTGCTTTAGACTGGCAATAGATTAAAATGGCTGAATATTAGAAATGTTCTATCTTTCAGCTCAATGCCACACTGTATTACTGTATCCAGCAACTAGTGTTGTTTTATAGAAATCCAGGAGAGTCTATCAAACAAGCTAAAGGAAAGATACTTTGTACCAGTAGGCTGGCTTAGCTAAAGGTGTCAGAACCTCAGAGGATCCAGAAATAACAGTGGCAAGGGAGCTGGAACGGTTAGAAAGAGGTGGAGACAACAGTCACCCCTGAGCTCTTCTCCACCACCGACAACAGCATTGCTGATGTGTGGCCAAGGTTTTGGGTTACTCACTGGGAAAAATCGCATCTGGAAAATGTCAAGGCTGACACTTCTTCCTTGCCTAGACAGAACAGGAGATAATACTTTGGGTGCTGGTTGGAAGCTGTGGAGAGATGGTGTGTAGCTTGTGGTTGAGGGAGGCTATGGCTCACGGGAGCACAGGAACAGCAGGGGAAATGATGGAGTCTGTCATCTGCTACATCTAGAGTTTCAAAGTTTCAAAGGAATACGTTAAACATATAGAAAACAAAAAGTAAAAGACAAATAGCATGGTAGGACATCAGATTTGGCTCTTCCATCTTCTGGCAGGGCAGCTCAAGAAGCCCAGGAAAACCACCAGCCTGAGTCCCTGATTTATAACGAGGTCCCAGGCAGAATGCCTTCCTTTCCCGTGAGACTTGCAATTAGCTGTTCCCACAGGAATTTGCATATTATGTGATTACCTTCCAGCTGCTCTTAAGAGTACAGTGTGTAGAGAGCCACAGGTACCATTCCAGAAGATGGTGCCGGTTTCCTGTCCATAAGCCAGCAAGGCGCGGATGCGTGATCCACGTCATGGGGTGACCGTTACGAGCATTGCGGGCTGCAACTGTCAGTAACGGACATGACTCCTCTGAGCATATATAAGCAGAGCCCTTTTTCCTCCTCGGGATCTTCCCTCAACTTGCTGTAATGAGCCACGCAATAAACATAGCTGCAGAAGAATCCTGTTGTTGAGCGTTGTTCTTGCAGGCAAGGCAATAGCGCTCGACAACAGTGCATTGATTTGCTGACTCACCCTCCTGTTCTCAAGGGCATATTTTCATTCAGGATGTTTTGCTGTCCTCTTTTCTCCTTGACACAAGGCCAGCCTTTCCTGGATCATGAGTTTTAGGGGACACTTTGGGACAAACATGTCTGGGTCTGAAATGGAGCCAGCTTCAAACTTGAACAGCATGTGACAACTGACAAACATAGTTTCCATTACAGCATCTAATGCTGACTTCAGTATGAGTATGATGCCTGGGGCCAGAGCAGCGAGCTTCTTGCAGCCTACACACGGCTTTGCCCGCTTTTGCCTCTATCTAACCCCCTCTGACATATATGTGAACCCCACCTCAAGCTTGTCCCCGGCATCACTGTTCCCACTGCATCTTTTAGATCTCTTAGGCCCAGAAGATGTGCCTGGCATCTTACACACACACACACACACACACACACACACACACACACACACACACACACACTAGTATTCAGGAATCTGTACTGGCCTGTCCTTGGGGTTCTGACAGAATATGTCCTCAAATGCAGCCACTAAGAGCACACTATTGGTGCACATTCACTATGTTCCCTTTTAAAAGGGGCCTGCCACCTCCCATCCTTCTCTCTCTGCTTCTCTGTCTCTGTCTCTGTTTCTCTCTCTCTCTCTCTCTGTCTCTCTCTCTTTTTGCCTCTCTTTCCTACTGCTCCTGTCTCTCAGGCCAGTCTCCCTTCTCCCCCTGCCTTTTCCCATTCATTTTTCCCCAATAAAAAAAATCCCCTCCAAGTGAACTCAGTTGCATGGCATCTTTCTCTGTAGCGCTGATTTTTAAATTACAATGTGCACTCACACACACACACACACACTCCCTCACCTGCAAACATACTTACTCATATACATACTCACACATACACACTCACATTACATAAAAAGAGAGAATTAACAATAAAAGATTTTAAAGGCTACTTCCAGGGGCAAGAGGATAAGGATGGATAATGGGGATAAATATGATCTAAGAACTTCATTTACATGTTTGAAATGTCATAAGTAAACCCATAACTTCATACAATTAATATATAATAAAAAAATTAAGGCTATGTTGTATTGAAGAAAAGAGAGTATCACCAGAGGTCCTTTGGATTCCTCAGATCTGGGATCTGTAACATGACTTCTTGGGCCAGTGGGTTGTAATATTACCCACGACAGCCCACCTTTTCTAAGTAACCTTCAGCAAGGAGGTCATAAGGGCCACAACACAGGACAGGGAAGCCAGAGGGAATGAGAGCCATCAGCTTTAGGGAGACAGATTGGTAGGCGTCTGAAATTCTTTTTGTATCTACATGTTGAATCTCTATCTGGTCATAATCCATGGTGGAGCTAAGAGGCTCTATATTTTAAGCTGCACCTCTCACTTCTCATAATAAAACCCTGGCACTGAAAGAAACCCGAGTGAATGCCTAGCTTCACTTTGTACCCAGACACGGTATTCTAAGAAAGTTCTGGATGTAAGTGTGAGTGGCTCAGTAAGGTAACATATGGATCACTAAACCAACTGATTTCCTTTCTTCCATTTCTCCCTGAGAAAATAAATACAGCAATGAGATGAACACAAATCTTTATTTCTCTAAAAATTGAGGTAAACAGAACAGTTTAGTGGGGGGGGGGGGATCTACATGGTGGAAAATGGGAAGGCGCAGCTTCAAGCAATAGTTGCAGGATCCTCAAAGGGAAAAGTGAAGTTTGGCCAAAATGACCCACTTCTTCCTGAGTTGGCCCAGACTTCAGCGACCAGCATTTCATTTCAAAGAGAGAAGAGGCCAATCTAGAGTGTGAGGCTGTAGTTCACAGAAATGTGCAATGCTGGGGCTCCTGTGATCATTGAGGTGAGTGTTTATGGTGCTGCTGAGGAAACTGACCCAATTTCCTAGGTTCCTTGCCCACCCCATGTCCAGCCTGGCATCGATGCAGACCTCTTACCCCAGAGAGTTGTGCGTTCTCTAAGTCTTTGAGGAGAATGGTCTGTAGGTGTGAATAGCACTCCGCACTATGGCCCTGCCTCACAAGAACGTTGTGAGTATAAAGCGTTCTAGAAGGTTCTGAGTAGGTGTGGAGTCAGCAGGCCAGGAGGATAATCCTTTCGGGGTTGACCTTCTCTTTGGTCCTCTTTCACTACAGTGTGGATTGGGCCCGAAAAGGCCATGTTCTTCTGGCCAACTATTCCCACTGGATTCCTAGAAGCTCACAACTGACATTCCACAGGCGCTCAGCTGTTTTCTTATTCCGGGCCCTTGGGGACACCCAGGTCCTCTTGCAGTCACTGGCAGGCACAGAGAGTGAACAAAAGAGTGAAAACTGACAATCTCGGGGCACATTTCTCAGAATAGACTTCTAATTGTATAAAATAGGTGCACTGGATTTGAAGAAATTACATTGAAATGAATTCTTAAGTATTCCAGGGTCAGGAGTAGTGGTCAGCCTAAATAATCCTAAATAGTTCTTGGGAAGCAGGCACAGGTAGAGCGGACGTTTAAGGTCATCGTTGGCTATAGAGTGACTTTTGAGGCTATCCTGTGCTACATACAGTTAGGCTTTGAAAAACCAAACTGTGGGGACAGGAAAGATGAGTTGGTAACTAAGAGTGTTTGCTGCTCTTCCAGAGGACCTAGGTTTGCATCCCAGAACCACACCAGGCTGCTCACTAGCACCTGAAACTCCAGATCAAGATGACCCAACATCCTCTCTGGCCTCCGTGAGCCCCTCCCACATGCACATACACTCACATACACACATAAATTTTAAAATCTTAAAAAAAATACAAACATGTATGCACATATACTTAAACTCTGAAATAATAACACATAGGCTTTTTGTTAATATGATCGACAAGAGGCAATACTGATACCCAACTATTTCAAAGTAATTGTGAGGCAAAGAGGCATTTTGAAATATCTTCAATAATTCAATGTAACTCTGTGGTGGCAAAGTCACAGATAACATCACAATGACTTTTTTTTTTACTAAATTTAGAGAAATTCTGAATTCATCCAGAGCCACTTGTGCCCAATGAGACCTACTTAAACACTGCCCTATTTTAGAGTGAGCAGAGGAGCCAAGGATGAGAAGGAAAATGGAAAAGAGATAGACCACCCCACTGGAGTTCTAGCTTTTATATTTATGACACTTCTATATGGTATTTGGAAAATATAATTCTGATAAAAATAAAAGCCTATCATTTGGCTGGACTTTTTTATGTTAGTTTTTTTTTATTTTTATTTTTATTTTTATACAAAAGTGGGATTATGTTGTATTTAGTTTGAGAAAGAAGTCTTTTTGTTGTTAAAATATATTTTAATTATATAGATAGAAAATATATGTATGACCCTCCAAAACATTTCAAATAATAAGGCAACAGCCAGAATAAGAAGTTGCAATCCTATTTTACATCTTACCTGACTCTTCCTCAACTCCCTAGAAGTAGTTAGTAGTTAGTACCCACTAACTAGTCTTTCTAGAATATTCACTATGTATTAGAAACAGGTGTTCACATGATTGTTTTTAAAAAGATTTTATTTTGACGGGCAGTGGCGGCACACCTTTAATCCCAGAACTTGGGAGGCAGAGTCAGGCGGATCTCGGTGAGTTCAAAGACAGCCGGGTCTACAAAGTAACCTCCAGGACAGCCAGGGCTATTACCCAGAGAAACCCTGTCTTGAAAAACCATTTAAAAAAATATTTTATTTCTCATTGTATGTATCCACATGTGTCTGTGTGAGAGCTTGTGCATATGAATGAGTGCCTATGGTGGGTGGCAAGAAGAGGACATCACACACACACACACACACACACACACACTCACACACACACACCGCCCCCTGGAGCTGAAGTTACAGACAGTATGAGACATTCAGTGATGAGAACTGAACTGGGGTCCTCTGTGAGAGCAGAAAAAACTCTTAGCTGCTGGGGCATGTCTCCAGTCCCTACGGTTTTATATTCTAAGTGTTTTCGTTTGTTTGTTTTCTCATATTGTATTATGAAAATCCCTTATCAATTGTTATCTGAAGTCATATTAAATGACTGCCTGTCACATTCATAAGTCAGTAAATATCTGTCACATTCATAAGTCAGTAATGTTAATGCTCAGATTGTAAGGGTAGGTTTGTTCAATAGAAATTGGATGTATGCTAGGTGTGGTGGTGTACACCTTTCATCCCAGCACTCGGGAAGCAGAGGTGAACTATGTGAGTTGAAGACGGCCTGATCTACATAGTGAGTTCCAGGACAACATAGAGACTCTGTTCCTCCAAAATAAAACAAAACCAGTAACAACAAAAAAATTATGCAATCCAAATATGAGCCACATACATAATTCAGATTTTTCTAGCAGACAATTTAAAACAGAAAAAGAAAGTAGGCATGCTGGGACATCATTGCAATCCCAGCACTCAGGAGACTGAGACAGAACAATCATAAGTTTGAGGCCAGAGTGGACTTCATAGTGAGAAACCCTCTAAACTAAATCAAGGGCTGGCTTTGGCACACTCCTCCAATCCCACATACCAGAGGCAGAGGCAGTTGGAACTCTTGCATTTAAGGCCAGCTGAGATGACAATATGAACTAAAACACATAACACACTTAGATGACGGTCAAACACATGCCAAGAACTCAAGTCATCCATCCCCTAGTGCAGACGTTAAACTGACTCCCATTGCTGAGCAATGGACAGTGGACCAGGCTGGGTTAAGTCAAGGAAAGGGAAGGAGATTTTATCTTGAACTTCTTATTTGGAAGCTCTGACTGTACATGGAGTTGTGTTTACACAGCAACAGGCAAGGCCAACCCGGACATCACTGAAGTAAGGGTTCACATTGTGCAGACGTGACCCCCCCCACACACACACACACGCACAACACTTTTTGCCAAAGTGGTTTCAAAGAATGCAAACGTCAGATCAGTTGATCTTTAAAGGAAAAAAATCCAGAGGGTTCCCTAACACTCTCGTTATATAGCATAACCAACAGGGAAAGCCTATAACGGTTTTCAGAAAGCAACGGTGCTCACAGAAACGTACCACAAAAGCAATTCTTTCTAACATAAGTTCCTCTGGAAAACTCACAGCAATCAGATTGCAAACCCATCCCAAGCCTGGATTCCATGATCCAGCACAAAGGTCTGACCAGTGCAAAGCTGGGATTCACAGACACATGGATAGTGAACACACCCTGCACTGCCACCCCGTACCTGAAGTACTTGCCGCTCAGGGGCTCCAGGCCCTCCGCCAGTGCGCAGTGCAGACTGGTCTGAGCTCCTTGCCGGGTGGACTTGAAGAAGGGTGAGAAAAGCCTCCACAACAAGCAGAGCAGGAAGGAGTGTCTGACGATCTCAGACATGACAATACCTGGGTGTACTACATAGGCAGTGACCCCCGTTCCTAGAACAAAGAGAACACAGTAAGACCAAGGACATACTCTGAACCCTGTGGCAAAATACCCAAATGAAAAGAAGGGACTTAGGAAACCTCCTCTCTAGGGTTCAAAAGGTTCTACTCACTCTGCCCTGTAATGAATTCATCTCTTTGAGAAAGATCTACATAGCCTTCTCAGCTTTCTATGCTCCAAAAGAAGAGTCCTATTTCAATGTTATCTTATATGGAGGCTTACAGACTACTAATAAAAACGTGGGAAATAGTAGCATTAATCATTAATAGCAGTATCCTTGTCATTCCTATGGGAGGAGCTGTTTGAAAGGTTGGGGATAGAGGTTAGTTGGGCAAGCACATTTATGAGGTACGGATTGAGGGGGAATGGGGGAATTATTGGACATTAAGCTGCCCCAACATGACTTCCGTACCCCCTCATTCTCAGTATTTTTTTATGAGCAAGGGCCACTTTCCCTGTGTTGTTTCATTTTTTTTTAGTTTGTTTGTTTGTTTTGGTTTTTTGGCTTATACAACAGAGTTATCACTGGATCAATCAGCCACTAATGGCTTGCATCAGTTATTCAGTGAGATGCTAAACTATATGTTGGAAGATGGTCTAACTAATAACTCTGAGTCTCCTGGTGACTTAAATGAAAGCTACAAAAGTTTTGAGATTCTAATTTGAAAATGCAAAGAGTGTCTGATTTTCAGTTTCTGCTATGTAAAGAGCAGGCCATTCCTGTACACTGACACATGTAACATACCACATTTTTCACTTCTGATGCTGATATAAACTAAATATGGCTCTCCAGCCATATCAGTTATGAACATAAAGCATATCTCTAACAGTGGATCCCTTAAACAAGAATAGACACTAGAATATTGTCCCTTTCTTTGATGTGACAGCAGAGAATCTCTCACACCCAAGTTAAAGAGGATATTGGCCACATAATACATATTTTCTATTTTAAAAAAACTCATCAATTTTGGACAATTTGTAACTATCTTAGAAAGTAGATATTGTTCAAAGCTGGAAGAAAATAAAGGCGAGGTCTGACAAAGGAGGAGATGGGTAAGAAAATCAACACAAGAACAGCAATTTAGACTTCATTCCAGCAACATGCAGGTTTTTCTGAGTTCAAGGCATCATGGTACGGCATTCATCTGATGATGGAAGGTGGTCATTTCCTCTCACACCAGCTCTGTCCAGCAGCGGTGTCACACCAAGGTCAGGCAATTCTGTGCCACCCTTCTCCTTTTTGGAACATGGCTTCTTACTCAACTGATCAGGGGCAGGGGGACTTGGAGAGCAGGGGACAGGGGCTGGTTATGCCTCAGTTCTTAAAAGAGGCTTATGCCATAGGTAACATTAAAATGCCGCGTACAAAAAAAAGCAAAGTGAGACACAGAGCAACTAAATAAATTGCCCAACATCCTATCTAGTAGCCTGCAGACGAAGATCTGTGCCCCACATAGAGTAGTAAAGAGTGTGAGTCCCATTGCTAGATTCTTGGTGAGGACTGTTTTGGATAGGAAATGTACTTAAATGAATTCATCAATACAGCTCTGCCATTCTCTTCATTTGTAGATGGAGGGGAAAGAAACGCTTATGTCATAAGAACATTTGGGGACTTCTATGGTGCCTGGCACATAAGGCTTCCTGTTATTACTATTTGTTGCCATGATTATCCTACCCTTTTGCTTGGGCATTCTGAATTATTCACAATAGCAAATAGTCCCTAAACTCAAGCGACATCAGAGCCCACAGACTATCTAGACCCCAGGGAAGAGCAGAATTATTAAGGATTAAGGCCTCATTTCACAGCTAAGGAGGCAGTTGGAGAAGTTTAAGGAACATGTCTACATATACACGAGCACAGTATGTAGACAGGCAAGAACTCAGACCCAGGAGCCTGAAATCCAGCCCTAGCTCCCTGATGGAAGGCAAAGTCCCCTTTGGAGCTCAGAGAAAAGTACATAGGGGAAGGTAAACAGGAGGAGGGACTCAAGGCTTAGAGCACAAAGCCCAAGCTCCAGTTCTGGCTTCTATGAACTATGAAAGTAATCCCTGACTCCTTTCGCCATACGATGGATTTCAGCCCTAACCTACAAAATAGGAGTAATAATGCCACTCTGACTGTTACAAAGGGCTGTGAAAATGAAACGAAATAATAGGAGGCAAAAAGGCAACAAACTTAAAGCAACTTTGCAGAGTTTCAGCGTCTCTTCAGTGTGATGCTTCCCATGGGACAATGACTCCACTCTGTTAGCAGCCTCCTTCTCTTCAGCACACCAAGTCCCTTCTTGTATGTACATTGTACTGGTAAATTTTTATGTTCTATTTGAGCTCACTGGGAAGCCAGCTCTGGAAATGGGGTTGCCCCCCTTCAGACTCAAGCATATTTATGTCAAATGTCTTCCAACCACCACCACCCCTAACTCCATCCTTTCTTAGGTCAAGATGGCCCCTGTCTCTAGAATGGGAAGAGGGAAAGATGGCAAGCAGCTGGGAGTGTTAAAAATGGGTTCTTGAGGACAGCTAGATGACAAACTGCTTCCAACCAAGGTTACTATTGCCTATCCTGTAACGTTAAAACGCCTGGACAGGGACAAAGTTCAGCTACTGGAGGCTCGTCCACGGAGAAAAAGCCCAACAGGGAATTCCATCTGACTGCTTCAATTTCAATAGTCCGTTCCTGCTGGGTGTTGTAGGTGCCTGCTTTGATAATGTTATGTTTATCCGAAGCTATTTGTTCTTTTACTTGGAAGCAATTTTATGCTCTATCCAGTATTCTCAATCAGAACTCCAACTGGCTGCCACAATGGGGCTTCCTCAGTTACTTTCCACTCGATGTCTGTAAGCCCCTGATGAGGTGACATCACCTTTTATTTTGCTCTCTCAACTGGGTGACTCCAGTTGTCTCTGCTAGATGTTGTCAGCGCCTGATCTGATGGTCTTGAATCTACCCACTGCTTCTAACTGTTACTACTATCCATCCTTCTATTATTTTGTAGATATTTAATAAACTCACTTATTCAAAACAAAAGAGCATGGCTATCATAGATCACTCCCTGGGTCATACCTAATAATACTAAAATGTGTACGTACCAGAAGTTTCAATGAACCTATAATCTGGACCCCAGACCCTGCTTTTATTGTTTAAATAATAGGATACTTTATTCTTTCTGCACACATACCTTGGAGCCGCTTGGCCAGCTCTCGAGTGAAAAGCACATTGGCCAGCTTGCTGTGGCAATAGGCAAAACCACTGCAGTAGCGCTTCTCGCCTTGGAGGTCATGGAAACGGATCTTGCCACCAAGGTGGGCCACTGAGGATAGGTTTACCACCCGTGCAGGTGCAGACTCCTTCAGCCGCCCCAAAAGCAGGTAAGTGAGAAGAAAATGGCCTACAAACAAATCCAAAAGGAAAACTCAAGGGTAGAATGGCTCTAGACTCGGGGTATGGAAACCTATGACAGGACTTGCATAGTAGCTCACTGTCTTCTGAGTGTGAATAAAATTTGATACCATGAGTCACTCCACACTAAATGGTTACTTCCTCTAAGTTAATCAATTCTCCAAAGCAGGGGTCAAAGCTAGATGGTAGTAATGATTTTTGTACCTATTGTTTATATGCCCACCTGCTAGCCTCCAATTTCTCTGCATAACTCTACGGGTCCCCATGTACTCATCAGAAAGAAAGCTATAGTAAGTCGGGTACTCTGGGACTCAGGAATATGCCACATGCTCTCTTGACTAGAACATTAATCTTGAACTCTGAACAGCAATTTATCTTGTGTGTCAATTTCTCAGGGTTCACTCACCCACACACACTAGCCCAAGGCTTGCTTTGGTTTTCATATAGCTGTTACTTCCCTTGTCAAATCCAGATTCCTAAATACCCACAGGTTAGCCCTGCCCAGCAAGCCCTGTATTGCCACTAGACCATCCAAGGATGACATTTTTCTCCCTAGTATCTTCTGAGATGGGGGCTTTTGAATTGAAACAGAGTCATGTTTTTTGACTGCTTAGAAAAGCACAAACAAGCAATGTGTCTTATGTAAAGGGATCCTATGAGGACCCCATGAGGACCCTACAAGGCTCCATGAGGATCAATGGAGATCCTAAGCATTGTGCAGGGCCATCTTCCTACAGAAAACAAAGTGGGTTATAATGCACTTTTTAGCCACACAAAGATACTTACCCAGGTGGTTGACTCCCAAGTGGGTTTCAAAGCCATCTGTTGTCTTAGAATATGGATACATCATCACTCCTGCATTGTTGATCAAAATATGGAGCTTCTTTTCCTCTGTTGAGTACAATCAGGGAGATCCTGTGGCTAGCAATGCATCTTCTAGCCACCAGTCACTGTCTCCAGTGTTTGCCCCCAGCTTTCACCTATGAACACTCTTTGCTAGGCAAGGTTATCACTCATCTTTCTCCTGTCTTCTAAGATAAGATGTTGCCTCAGAAGTCAATAACTATTCCCCATGTGGACCTGTCTGCCTGATATGGAATCACCATTGTCACTGGGTTTCTGATTTTACTTGCTGATATCTTTCTGGATACCATTTGTTCATTGATATGGCCAATGTGTACTAGCCACCAATTCTGGACCAGACACACATTGATGGGCCCTGGGAAGACATGATAAAACAAGGCACACCTAGACTTTGTCCCTCAAGGACCTGTAGTCCTTGGTAGATGCTGGCAATTTTCCAAGACATGGGAACATTTTGACAATGGCACAAACTCATCTAGTGCTTGTAGTCACAGAAGGTTGATTTTCTGGATGAAAGAAAAGAGCAGCATCAGGGCCACACCTCATGCCATGATACAAGCTCAGACATGGAGATGAAACCTCCAAGATTCCCACTGTGGAGCAAAATGTTGATAAAGATCCTGCCCAGCTTGTCCCCCTGCCATCCCTTTGCCAATTCCCTGTCCTGCTGGTTCATGTGGCTGAACCTGTCCAGTGGGATCATGGGTATGATGCAAGGGCCATATATGGTCCTGGGCGGGGCAACATCCCTACACTTAGTTCCCTGCCTTCCTGGCTACTCATGGGAACCTTACCTGCCAGGAAGCCCTCAGCAAAGGCTCGGATGGATTTGGTGTCAGATAGGTCCAGTTTCCGCACCAGCACCTGGGAGTTCTTGGTGTCTGCTCGGATTTCACTAGCAGCAGACTCTCCCTTCAGTACATCTCGACAGGCAATGTATACTCGTGCTCCTTGAGCCAAAGGAGAAAGGGCAATGTGCAAAGAGGCACAGGAAGTGAGCTTGCAGCTGATGGGTAGAGCGTACTCACAGCTGTCTGTATGGTTGTGGAGTGTCCATACTGCCACTTCTGAGTTCTCACAGCCCAGCTGGGAACCCTCATTTTACACTCTAATATTTAATTCTGCTCAGTGTCTACCTTAGAATAACAGACTTGACCAATTTTACAGAGAGACATCATTCTTCCTACTCCCCAAAGTAGGGAAGGCACAGGGAGGGAGGGAGCTACGCTGAAAGCCAGAGTAAATTAGTGTCACATTGGACTTGGGCTCCAGTCTCCTTGAATCCCCATCAGAGCCTCCAAACCCAGGAAGAAAAAAAAGGAAATCCAGGTAGGATCCCAGTGAAGAGGGCAGGAGGTGTAGCCCCAAGGAGACAGGGAAAACACTCACCTCTTCGAGCAAGCTCTCTGGCGGTCTCCTTGCCAATGCCTGTGTTGGCACCTGTGATAACCACTACCTTCCCAGGAATCTGCACATTCGTTGTACAAACTCCACCAGCAAAGAACTTCCTGTCATCAAAGGGATGAAAATCAGACACCATTTTTCCAATCTCATGCTGAGATGCATAAAAAACAAGGCCACGGAACTCCAAAGAGGGAGGGCTTTAAATTGGAGTCATAAAATGTTATGAAATGAATTTGAGCTGACAGTGGTTGTGCACACATTTCATCCCAACCTTGGGAGGCATAGGTAGATGGCTGTCTGTGAGTTCCAGGACAGCATGATCTACAGAGTTCCAGGACAGCCAAGGCCACACAGAGAAACCCTGTTCTCTAAAAATGAACAAGCAAAAAAGAAGTTAATTTGCATAAGTCACTGTTTGATTGGGCAAAGTAGTGGCCAGCCCATGGGCATAGATGGGAAGGTTGTGTGTCCAGAAGCAGATAATAGTCACTGGAACGAGCAGAGAAAGTACTCCTGAGCCAGGGCCAATGAAGGTATCCTTTGTCAGATAACAAAGATATCCATCCAATCTCTAGATTCCCATAGGCCAGCTTCCTCCTCTGACCCACATTGGAAACACATGGGTGAGAACACTTGCGGATTCAATAGCCTTGAGCCCTATGGCTCCAATAGTCACCACAGAAACTGGTGAACAACATCTGGGCTGACACGTGTAAGTATCACCCTTCAGCTGTCTCTTCAGTTTTAGAGAGGAGAGCATCCTGAGAGACTTTTTTTTTTCCTGACACTGTGTTAAGGGTTTTATTCAGTCCGCTGGCATACAGAGAAAACTTTCTTGTTGAAAACAAGACCAGAGAGGCTGGAACACTTCCTGAACATCACTGGCTGACAGACACTGAGCTAGACACTTTCTATACACCGTCTTTTCTAGGCTAGACAGTTTCTACACTCGCTGTCCACCCAGGGCTAGACTTTCTACACTCAATGTCTGTTCCATGTTAGACACTCCCTACACTCACTGTCTACCCCAGGGTAGACAGGGTAGACTGTCTCTATGCTCACTATCTTTCCCAAGCTAAATACTGTCCACAATACTATCTTTCCATAAGTAATTTATATTAACCACCCCAGCCATTTCAGTATTATTTCTACACTGCAAAGGAGAAAACTGAAGCCCAAAGATATTCAAGTCATTTCTAAAAGTGGTCAGGATGGAGTATCATACTCTGACACTCTGTCCCTAGTATGTCTATCTAACCTTCTTTTGGGGGTGGGAATTTAAGACAGGGTCTCTCTGTTTAGCCCTTACTATCCTATAACTCACTCTGTAGACCAAGCTGACCTCGAACTCAGAGATCTGTCTGTCTGCCGCTTGAGTACTGAGATTAAAGGCAAATGCAACCACGCCTGGATCCTATGGACCTTTCTTAATCATTAGCAAACTTTTAATTCTCCACCCAGAATAGCCCTTTCTTTGGCAGCCCCAGAGATTCCCACAGTGAATGAGCAATTTCCAAAACATTTACTGAGAGAAGTATCAAGGGAGGAGATTTTGTTTCCTTCCCAGAGTACCTACTACTTCACAATGAGTCCCTAAACAATGTCACCCCACCTTACCTAGGGTCAGAAGAGAAAGGGAAAGTGTCAGAGAAATCTAAAGGGATCAAAGGAAAGATCCAGGACAGCAATCCCCTCAGCCTTCTCTTAGCATCAGAATTCAAACCAGCCCCTCCTCTGCCCACCCAGGTGCTTCCTTCTCATTTTCCACAGCGGTGGCATCCACAACCCCTCCTTTCCTGTTTTTACTGCACTAATTTCTCCTTCGCCGCCGTCTCTATTCTCCTTGAGCAGTCACAGCCAGCTACCACTGCAGGACTTTTTAAATATTGTTGAATCCCTGGATTAAGACAAACCTGATGGATGGAGCTGTCAGGTACAAGATCGAGAGGAAAGACGTGAACAGTCCCAAGATAACTAACATCTTGTCAACCTCTTGGTTCCTGGGGCTCCAGCTTCCACCCTCAACCTGGCCTCGGGATCCTTCTCTGGCTCCAACTCCTGGCAGTGCTCTAGAGCACTCTGCAACAGGCTGGCTTAAACGGAGCTCAGAATCCTACTTAAATCCGAGAACCCACAGAGCACAGCCTCCTGGGAGATGTAGTCCTGGAGAGGGTGGGGCTTAAGGGAAGATCAGGGCTTCACCTTTCACTGGCAGAGAGAATTTGGTGAAACTGGAGTTCCCCCAACCACCGTATCTTCAAGATAGAATATGTTTAATTTTATCAGCAGACTTCATAAAAGCCATGCATAGTGACACATTCTTTCAATCCAAGTTATTTGGGAGGGTGAAGCAGGATGACCCCTTGAGCCTACAAATTCAAGACTAGCCTAAACAATATAACAATATCCTGTTAAACAAACAAAAAAAGCAAGCATGCTGACAAACAAACAAAAGCCCAAGACCCAACGATGCTTGAAATATTTAAAATAGAAGAGTGAGGGCCCGGGAGAGGGTAAACCAAGCAAGCAAGCCTGTCGACCTGAGTTTGATCCCCCAAACTCACGGAGAAGCCAGATGTGGTGGCTCATGCCAGAAGAGGTGGCTCCCAACTGTAATCACAGTAATACTAATGCAAAACGGATGCTGGAAGCTGGGGGGCGGGGCTAGAGGGACTGAAAGTGCAACAGAGTCAAGAGATGCCACGCCTCAAAGAGAAGGCAGAGGGACAATTCTGACTCCTGAAAATTTGCCCTCTAATTTCCATATGCATGTACTAACAAACCCCCAAATAAATAAAAGGTCTTACCACATAATCCTGGCTGGCCTGTCACTGGTTCACTATGTAGACTAGGTTGGATTCAAACTCACAGAGATCCGCCTGCCTCTGCCTCCCAAGTGCTGGGTTAAAGGCATGTGCCACTCACTATACCTGCTTGTATTTCTTTTATTCAGTAATGAATTATTGTTCCTCTTTCTTGACCTTTTTAAAATTTTTTTTTTAAATCATGTGTATGGGAGAGGGTATAGACTGATGAATGCAGGTATTCACAAAGGTAGGCTTCCAATCTCTCTGGAACAGGAGTTATATGTGGTTGTGAGCCACCCAGTGTGGGTGCTGGGAGTTAAGCTAGGGTCTTCTGTAATAGCAGTATATGCTCTTAACCATTGAGCCATCTCTCCAGACTCTCTTCTTGATCTTAAAAGGTAACATAACACATCACTTTTCTCAATAATAATAATAATTTGCTGTGATTGCTAACTACCATTGACTTTTCTTGGGGTTGTAAAATGGTGAAGGACTGTCCTGTGCATTGGAGAATGTTTAACAGGATGCCAGGATTCCACTGAATAAGATACCTATGCACTACTCCTGTGACAATCAAAAAATGTCTCCAGACATAGTCAACTGTCCACTGTAGGGCACAATCACTTCTACTGGGAAACACTGTCCTTCAGGATGTAGAATCCATGGGAGAATCCTGTGTAAGAGTTTGGTTCTGATGCTAGAGAGTGAATACAGACCTTCACCTGTGCTAACTGCATTCTCTAACACTGAGATGCAGCCCAGCTCTGGTATGTTATTGGCACACAGAAATACTTAGATTGTTAGAAATGGGTTACTAGCAAATAAGAAACACTGATAACAGGCCAACAGCTTTATTCATTAATCAATAAGAGAAACATATTTACAGAATGACATCTCCCATCAGAGCACAGCAAAGTTTCACTTAGATCCTGTACATTTTACTCAGGTCCAGCCAAGCTATTCTGCTTACAGCCTGCAGCAAATGACTCATATCTCTCAGGGCCCAGGATACTGTTCACCTAATAATCATTTTGACCTTCCAAAGTTTATTCCTCACAGTTCCATCCAGTCTACCACTGCTCACCCCATTATCCTACAATATCTGGGGTCTATGCACATGAGCAGGTCAAAAGCACACTTCTCCTGCTAATGAGGTAGCTCATCAGGTAAAAATCCTTGCTAACCAATCCTGATGGCCTGAATTCAATCCTTAGGATCCAAGAGATGGAAGATAAGAACCAGCTTCTTAAAATTTACCTTTAACTCCTATGTGCATTCTGTGCAATGCGATCACATAGACAAAATACATATACATGAATAAATAAATGCAATGTTTTAAAAAGTTAAAGCCATACCTCTCATGAATAACTTTCTGGGAGGATAAAAAATGTTCTGCTTTGGTAGAGGTTTGGGTTGGACTTTAGAGTGGCCAGTGAGGTGGCTCACTGGGTAAAGGTACCTGCCACCAAGCTTGATGAACCGAGTTCAGTCCCAGGGACCCATGATGGATCTATGCACCTATGCACTGATCAAAATGAAAAATATACATTTAAAACTTTTATATTTCATCATACATAAATTTCACATAAAAATAAAAAACTAAGTAAAATATTCAGTTATAGTTAATGATATACATGCTGAAGTTTTTAGAATAAATTGATACCTTTAATTTACTTTAAAAAAAACAAAAAACAAAAAACAGTCAATACCAGGACTGGAGAGATAGCTCAACAGGTAAGAGAACTTACTGCAGGGGACCCAGGTTCAGTTCCCAGCCCCACCATGGTGCTCACAACAGTCTGTAACTTTAATTCTAGGGGATTTAATGTTCTCTTCTGGCCTCCCTAGGCATGCACATGGTACACATACACACATGTAGACAAAACAGTTATACACATAAATAAAATCTTTTTTAAAATGTTAGTAGTATAGTATATTACAAATATAAAAACTAACAGTTGCCACAAATATCACAAAATCCAGAAAATATTATTCTATTTGTATTAAGTAGATTAAATGTATTAATAAAATATCATGGCTTGATGAACAGAGGAAAGCAAAATCAATATTTTACTGTATCTATTTTAAATTCTCAAATTATACTTATTTGGAAAAAAAAGGAGAGAAAAAAACCATTTCTCCAAGATATCTGCCCAAGAATAGTCCATCTTCAGACTTGCTTCACTCCTATCCTATAATAGTTACTATACATTGTTCTTTCAAAAATATCTCAGGTAATTCTCATTACACTTCCAAAACACATACCCTCACCCCCTGAATACACTGATATTTTATTGCAGCATCAGTACTCCAATATAATGTTATCTAATCCTAAATAAGCTTACTCGGTCCAGAGAATTTTTCTCTGGTTTTTTAGTTTCACACAATTTTGTGAATCTTAAAAGACTCACAAAGTCCAACAGGAGAGGATGACAAGTCAGAGATTGTGGCCTATGCCTACAGCCTCAGTTACTCAGAAGGTTGCAGGGGGAATTTAAAGCTAACCTAAACATCATAGGTATCTTAGATGGGGTTTCTATTGCTGTGAAGAGACGACATGACCATGGCAGCTCTTATAAAGGAAAACATGTCATTAAGGTGGCCTACATCTTCAGAAGTTTAGTCCATATTCATCACTGTGTAACATGGAGGCGTGCAGGCAGACATGTTGCTCGAGAAGTAGCCTACTGTCCTACACCTCGCAGGCCACAGGAAATGGTCTGAGACACTGGGCTGCATCTTGAGCATATATGAGTCCTCAAAGCCTGCCTCCTCAGAGACACACTTCCTCCAATAAGACCACACCTACTACAAGGCCACACCTCCTAATAGTGCCACTCTCTTTGGGTGCCATTTTCTTTCAAACCACCACAATAGATTTCAGAGGAGTGGTGAAGACACTCCTACAGAGGTTAATCCAAATGCAGACAGCTGAACACTAGGTTTGGAAAGGGATATAAAGTGAAAAGGACGGTACAGAGGAGGTGGAGGTTAGCTCAGTTGGCGGAAAGCTAGCTTGGCACACACAAGACCACAGACCATAAGTTTGATCCTTAGGACTACAGAATTAGGGGAGAAAGGAAGGAATGTAAGAAGGAAAAGAAAAAAACTATGGTAATTTGCTCAGAGGTGGAGGGGGCAAAGTCATCAAAAACTCCTGCCAACTTGAGTGTCCACAGATCTCATCAAGGTCCTTAGGCACCATACCTCACTGACTACTTTAAAAAGATGCTCTACAGGCTTGCCTGCAGCTCAGTCTTTGGAGGCATTTTCTTAATTAAAATTCGCTACTCTCAGACAACTTTAGCTTGTGTCAAGTTGACATAAAGCTATCTGGTATAGCCTTCATCAGATTGGCCTGCACGTGAGTCTGTGGAGCACTTTCATAATTGACAGTTGGTGTGGGAGGGCCTAACACACTGTGTGTAGGGTTGAGTGAGCCAGGGAGCAAGCCAGTTTGCAGTGCTCCTTTGTGGTTCTTTGCTGTGTGCTTTGATAAGCTCTTCTAATAATTATTATTTTATAGACAGGATTTTCTGTAGAGAAACCAAAAACATGTATTCAGCCTTTCCTGAATCATGGCAGATCACATTTGCTTTGTAAAACATCTTACTTTGAAATGTTACAGAAATATTGGAGGGAAACCACACAGAGCATTTCTGAACACCTTTCCTTTAGCTTCACTAATCTTACCATCATAAACCTTAGCCAGTTGTCAGTCCAGAAAAATTCCCCATTACTTTGCTTTTGTTTTTCAAAGCAGGGTTTCTCTATCACCCTGACTGTCCTGGAACTGGCTCCCCCAGGCTGGCCTTGAACTCAGAGTCTGCTCTCGGCCTCCAGAGTGCTGGGGTTAAAGGCATACTCCACCATGCCCAACCACTTTGCTTTTTTTTAAACTTTAAGTAGTCAACTCCCTTGAGACAATACTTTTCCCTTCTCTTGGCTGAATGGGCTGTTGCACAGACAGCAAGGCTGTGTGCACTCCTAAGAGAAACTGCTTTCGAATGCCTTTCCACAAAGAAATTGTAATAAGACAAAATAAATCTGTATTGTTTCATGGCCACTGTGTTTAGCAAAAGGCAGTAGAGTAGGAGAGGTAATCAGACAAATAATGGATTACAAAGAACATTTCTCAAAAAAAAAAAAAAAAAAAAAAAAAAAGTCTCCAAAGACCAAAATGACCAATGAGTACACAAAAAGGCCTCTTTAATCATCAGGGAAAACTAACTCACAAGAAATGCTAA